CTCTTTTATTTTAGAAAGAACAATAAAATTAATCGATATTACACCTTTATTTAAACTTTCTAAATAGCGATGATAAAAATATGCAAAATTATCATTTCAGGTATCCATGTCGCATTTTTCATACCTTACTCAATAAATCAAATACCTATCTCGTCACTGAAAATCCTCCCATTCCAATCCAATCCATCTCCCATTTTTTCAATCATTTGTCATGGAGCTCCTATTTCCGAATACAAACGAGCCATTTTCGCCAGAAATTGAGAGACAAGACATCAATTCAAAAACCCCTCGCACATTTCTTTTATGAAAAAGAAAAATTCGAAAAGTGTAACAGTAAATAGGTTATTACAGTTTAGTTAGTAATATAGGTGAATATTGCACGAAGTTGAAAAACAAATTATGAATTGTAATTTCATCTAAGTATATATGTTTAAATTAATTAGGTAGTTAGATGATCAAGAACATTTTAAATCAAATTTATTAAATAATGAAGGTAAAAATGATTGCCTACATGTAATTCGATCAAATTAGGAATTTTCCGCTTAACAAAAATATAAGTTCACGGCACCCCGGGGACAAAGAATAACTAAGTTTTCATTATATACTTAAACGCTTTTATTTTTACGAAACTACCGACCATACTTTTCTTTTAATTTATTACTAACAATGATTACCATGACCAAAGTTATATTAATACAATAAAAGAAAGAAAAAGACATTGAGTACAAATAACGGGTTTGAATATATAAAGAATATCTATATAAAGACCCTCGTTATATAACACATGTATATATTACACATTTTTCTTTTCCTAATATACTTGTAATAAACTATACCAACTCGATTTAAAGAGGGACTATTGTATTTCCTTTTAAAGTTATCTATGATAACCCACTCTATTCTCTGACAAAAAAATTTGTGAAGTTGCGTCAAAATATCGTCCCATACACAAAACTCTTAACAAATTTGCTGCGTATTGCATCATTTAGACACAATTTATCTCAGAAGTTACTTATTGCCAAAACAAAGCAACAAGCAGCGCAGTCATCTGAGATTTCTTTTTAAGGTTATATTTATCTTAGCACTCGATAAAAGAGTTCTTATAAAGTATAACTTATGTTCAAAGTTATTTAAGTCAGAGAGTTTAACACGTAAGAAATACACATCTATGTTTATTGGCTTTTCAATTTTAGTGATAAAATGATTGTGATTACAAGAAAATTGCCTTTTATTTTTTCCAAGAACAATATCGTTTTAAAAAAGCATTGCTACATTTTTATCTTGCTAAATCTTGATATTTTTAAAATTAGAATTAAAGCGTAATATTTATTTTTTTATAAAGCGTAATATTTTTTTTATAAAGCGTAATTATTTTTTTTTATAAAGCGTAATATTTTTTGTCTGCTGAATTTTTAATATTTCTGTTAAAAACCGTACTTCATTGTATATTTTACACAGTGTATTTCTGCAACCAGATAAAAAGAAACAAACGAATTTATGAAACCAGACTATTTAACGACTTCTAAATATGCTCGAAATTTGTCCAATTACTTATTTCCTATAGAAATATTCAAATACAAATTTCTTACTTTATTTCAAACTAGCCTCTCTGCAGGGACCCGCTGGTTTGAATACAAGAACTCATCGCTCCGTGGCTCCACATTGTTTTCCGCCTTCACGAAGTCACCACTTCGTTGTTCTACATTTATTCAGCTACACTCGACAACATTGCCCTTACTTTATGTCATTGGTATTTTAGATACAAATTAATGGAATGGGATGAAAATCGTGCACAGACTCGGAGCTTTACGGTTCCCAATTTATATTAGCCTACGCGAACTCGCAGCTTCGCGGTTCCACATTGATGCTGCTGCTTTGAGTTAATCCCTTTATATGAAAAGAAAATAGTAGGAGTTTTGTTTTAAAATTATTTAAATTCCTACAAAAATATTCCTTGCTTTAAGTTTAACATCTAACAAACTCGGTTATATGTGGGATGTATAATAAGGCTTATTCTCTGCTACTCTTTGAAACTTATTTTGTACCAAAAAGATTAAAAATACTTTTCTATTCAGTCTAAATGACGCTATAAGTAACATTCGCTGCGAAGAAAGAAGCATCATTCGGTATCGAGAGCCTCGTACTTGCCTANTTAACGGGGGGGGGGGGAAACAAAACAAAAAAGAGCACTCAAACTTCTCAACGTAAATTTTATTATTTCTTTGTTTTGTGTGTAATTACATTTTGATCAGAGAATAGATCTAAGTATATTCGGAATTTCTCTCTATTAAATAATTTACTTTCCCCATCATTGAACAAGCGGCACTGTATTCATGAAAAGTTTTACTAAAATTTCGCAGCATTTGATAGAAAAGCTTTTGAATTAAGAGTACGCGAAGTCTCTTTTGTAAAAAATAAAATCTTTTACGTTAAAAAAAAAACGAAATAGAACATGAATACCGCCTTTTTTTCCCCTCTCAAAATTTTAATTTAAATTTTATTGCAATTTTTGAGTTCCGTGATCAAAAAATCGTATAATTATTTTATTTTATACTGTTTAGTGCTATTCAAACAAGTAGAAATAAGTCTTTATTTTAAAACAAAAATTAAATATTTTTTAAAAGTTTTCTCAGTTTGGAATTTATTATATTTTTATAATCCTAAGCCCTTATAAATATGTAATTTTCAAAATGAATTTTTAACCTTGAGAATTGGGTACTTGCACTTCAAAAAGACCTCTCATACCCGCACATGTGACCTATTACGTCAGCGCCAGCTAATCTTTGTCAGCAAAATGACGCGTTAAAGTTGGAAAATTTCTCTACATAAGTTAGAATGTTAATTAACGATAAGTTAATTATACACAGAGCCTTATCGCACATCAAATTAGTAGAAATATAAGTCTCTCTCTTCTACTTCTTTTATTTAACTTAGATTTATTATTTGTTATTGTAACTGTGATGTACTTTTGTTTTTTGTACCAGGCTTATTTTTTTATTTGATGTTTATGACATTTACATTTCGTATTAAACAATAATAATAATTAAAAATTTAATATTTTGTCCTTACAGCGCTGATAAATTGGCTCATAAAACACACACACCAGCTTTGTCAGATCACGTTTTCAAAAGTTAAACTTAACTCTTGTGTTGAAGGTATCTACAGAGCAAATAAAACAAAATTTTTAAATATTTTTATATTTTAGTAAACTAGCTTTCGTGTCAATGAGAATGGAATTTTTAAATCAAAACTTTGATCAAATTCCGACTAAGTAATGCTTTCAAATCTGTAATAGAGCTCCCTGTTTGATGTCAATGCACATTTCAAATACTTTTTAACCATTGAAAGCAAAATATTTTTCTCACCAATCAAGATTTCAATTACTTTCTGGCTAACTAGAGTGTTCAAATTTCCTCTTTATTTCTGTAATTGATAATAATACAAGTGAAAATTTAAACTGGAGGCGAGATGCAAGTTGCCATTAAATCCGAAATGCTACAAGCAAACTTTACAGTTAGTTGAAATTTCGACCATATTCTGGCATAAGCCAACTAGTGGCACATCCGAAAAGAAGTAAACCATAAAATTTAAAAATAAAAAAAATTAACCCCACATTTATCAAGTAAGCTGATTTCTGGTCAGACCTAAAAGACCAGTCACCCCTGAAAAATCTCCCGTGCCTTTCCAAAGTGATGCACTTTACGTTTTTCAGCCTAAGTCTGACAAAAATTTTAAAAAATGTCTCCTTTTTAGTCTACTTATAAAACGCAGTTTCCAAAATTTCCAATATATTATTTATTCCTTTTTTTAAAATCTCGGCAGTTAAAATTTTCTCTTGCTAAAATTCTAAAAACAAAATTTTAAACAGCTTTTTCACTTTTATCTACTTAACCATTAACATTCTTTAACTACCGAACAACCGTTTTAATAGATACATAAAATTAACCGCCTTAATCCAATTCGTCCTACTGTATATTTTATTAGACAATCTTTAGACTGATAAAAATTTCCAGTAAACAAAGCCACCTTTTACATACATTAACAAAAATAATTCCTCTCAGATTTCTGGAAGCGGAACACTTATATCAATCTTAAGTACTATCATTAAGTATTGACTGCGGAAGAGCGTTTTTCCAATGCCATTCAAATAGTGTTCTAGAAAAATGTGTTTTTTAAAAAGAAGAGAATAAGTCCTGAGGTTATAAATAAATACACAAGGCACATTCACTCCTTGTTATGACTTTAAACATAAATCTTGTCTTAATGCTGAGAAATATTTTTGGTTTTATGGGCAAAAATAAATAAAATTGAAGAACGATAATGTTCCGAATATTTCTTTGAAAAAACATTAAGACATTTTGATGAGTCAGCGTGGGCAAGAGTGGTAAATTTAGAATCATTCAGATTGTTTTTCCTTTTATTAAATGGGATCGTAATTAGTTGCTGTAATTCTATATTATTACTTGTACAGGTATACATGTACGATATTTCCCATTTATCAACTAGTAATCATTAATTTTGTTACTCCACAAATCTACATGTATACTAATATGACAAGTGGGTAATAATAATAACCAGAACTAAATAATCGTTTGTAGGCTTGTAATTCATTTTCGACAAGAATTATTAAAGCACTTGACGTATACGGTGTTTAGAGAACACCTAGAATTCGTATCGCCTTAGAGATGGAATAAGTTTATTGAATTTACATGCATTTGTGGGTTTGTGTGCTCAATTTAGGCTTATAAACCTTTGACAAATTCAAGGACAGATAGCACAATACAGAGCAGAACAGCACAAAGATACATCCAGGGTTACAGCGGGTTTCGAACCCGCTACCTCCACGCTTTGCACAGCATTTGGTGGGAGATACTGCTCGGCCGGGCCCAAGGAATACGTTTAATTTTTAAATGAACAACTGAAATTTTGCAACGATAATTAATTTTGTAGCCAACAACAAAAATTATACAACTATATTATAAACTACTTTTATTTTTCAGACTGTTCGAAGAGAATGAAGACATACTCCATTTGTTCGAAAAGTTCCAAAAGAAAAGAATAACCGAATTGCATCGTGACAGTATGGAACTGGCACAGCACGCATCTATCGTTATGAATACTTTAGATGAAAGTATCAAGAAACTGCACAATGTCGATTATTTTATGGACTACTTGCATGCAGTGGGTAAACTACATACTAAAATACCTGGATTCCAAAGAGATTATTTTTGGGTAAATTTCTTTCTTTAAATATTTGGCATATCAGATATAAGAAAATTGTATCTCAAAATCTAATATATATATATATATATACAGTCGAACCTCGCTAACTCGAACCTCGATTTCACGAATTTTTCGATATCTCGAAGAGAAAAAAAATTCCCTTCAAATTTCCTATACACTCAATGTTAAAAAATCCTTGATTTCTCGAATTTTTTTTTCCAATCCCTCGATAACTTGAATTTTTATTTTCCATAAATAGTGTAGATTTGTTTTCTGAAAATTAAAAAAAATATTCAAAAAAAAAATTTAAGAATAGAAAGCCAATTCTCATAATCATAATTAGTTCTCAAACAAACACTTTCTGCAGTGGACACTGTAAGGAGATTTATTGGGAGACAGCTGAATATGTCAGAGGAAACATTTAAAGCTATAGTCCACTTAGAAAGTGTTATAGACAAACTTTCCTAACACATCTCTAAAGCAAACAACAATTGAATCTTTTTAAGTGTAAAAAGTGTTTTTAGAATAAATACGGAATAGTAAATAAGGTATGTAAAGAGCATTTTTCTTTATTCTAAAATCGATAACATGCGATTTTCGATTATTCGAATTTTTTCTCCTCTCCCTTCAAGTTCGAGATATTAATAAATAAAATGTTTTTTAAAAAATATTTATCGGAAATTTCATCGCATGCCTTCCCTTTTTATGGTCTGGCGCTATTCGCGCATTTGAGCTGGTAGTTTTATTCATCCAATTTTATTTTTTATCTTAGTATTGTAGTAAATTACGTTCAGATAGGCTCAGAAATATCTGTTTATCGTACTGATTTTGCAATTAAATTACCGAATTCTGTAAATTATCAGCTAAATCAGAAAACCACGATAAAACAGCTAAATCTGAGCAATTTTCGACAACAAAAAATTTAAAAAAAAAACATTCAACAATCAAAAAACTAATATAATACAGATAAATAAAAGTACCAGCAAGCTAGTGGCCTACGATTACAAATCCATGCATGAGTTGTTATGCAAATTCAAGCCTTATGATGAGTCCCACCTCCTCTCCAATGTTACAACCGCTATAGAAATGTTACAGAAGTTTATAAGAAGACCGCCAAAAAATGAATAAAATCGACTAAAAATAAAATTTAATTCTTTTAAACATCACAATCATTGTAGATGAATTTGTCTAATTTTGTGTAGTACTAGTAAAAGCTTAAACTAAAACAGTAAGGAGTACCGAATAAAAGTTTTCAATTCAATTTTGGATCGTAATATATTAATTATGGATCGTTTATTTAGTTATTCAACAAAATTAAAGTATGGACTTCAAAAGTAAAGAAATATTGTAAAAATCGATACTTTACTTTCAATTTTTGAGGGGAAAAAATTTTGCTTTCTTCTTTCAACTCTTAATCGAAAATTTCATTATAATATTTTTCTTTTCCTGTAATCAGGCAATGGAGATCAATTTCAAGACATACAAAGTTATAACCTGGCATAACAAGCTAATGAGTGCATTAATTTTTTGAAACATAGCCCTTTAAAAACATGCTTTCATAAACCAAAAGTTAAAGGAAAAAAACAACAAAAAGACGAGTGAAAACAATGGTCTTTTATAATCCTCTTCGTGCGAAAATTTATTTCCTCCATGGAACATTTTAATAAGATAATTTTCAACAAATAAAAAAAAATCTCTTAATATTTGGATATTTTTACCAAACGTATAAATTATTTTAAATTGAAAACGGAAAAAATGGAATTATTAAAATGGATTGAAATCCGCACGACTCTTATGTGTTGTACAGTTCGTATAGTTTGTCCTAATTCAACATCATGTTTCAATTTAACTATCATTCTGCTGATACCCTTAATTACAGCACTGAAATTGTATGAAACATGGGAGAAACAAATGCGTTTTATAATTCTAGTACTCTAAGGGGTCCCACACCAGTCCAGTGACACAGATGTTATTTTTTTCAATAATAAATTTTTTGATTTCTTAAAAAAAAATTTATTGAAGATTTGTAAACTTTCTCCACCATATCAATTACATTAAATAGCAAACATGGCTTCTGAAAACACTGGTTTACACATTTCTAGAAACTATTAATAGTATTAGTAAATAGAGTAAATTTAAACATTTTTAGATGGTTATTGCCACTATATCCATAAACACAAAATTTAAAATTTCGTTAAGGCCTGAAAAATCATGAAGATTAAACGATAGTATAAAATTTGAAAATAAAATCAAAAGCACAGAAAATTTTAAAAGTGGGAAGAATTATACTAATATTACACTATTCCGAGCTACACTGTCCCCATAACTTCAGCATAGCTGACATGCAGCAGAAAATATTATTTTATAGTTTTTCTATACAGCAACACCGTCTGTTGACGACCTTTGTAACTAATTTTGCATCTTTGGTGAGAATAAGTTTGTATTTTCCTAAGCAGAGCCTCCCATTTCTCAACTGACATTTTAAATCGTTAGTAATTTTAACTCCCAGTAATTTTATTTCTTAAAGAGATGCTTCTCTAACATTTTTTAAGACAAAATGCTAATAAATTAACTTTTTTTATAATGATAACCTGTTTGACTTGTTTACAGAGAATTGAGCGACCATTCCTGGCAGCTGTCCAAGAAACTTTAGGAGATCGATATACAGACAATATGGAAAACATCTACAAAATCACAATTCGCTATATTCTAGATACTGTTGTGAAAGGATTCGATCTACATTCAAAAAAACCTGAGCCAAGTGACAAAGTTCGACCACCAAAAGCATCTCCTGAACCATCACCATCTCCTCATGATGACGACACAAGCACTAGACCTGAGAACAAAACCGAAATACAGAAAAAAACGGATGGATTATCATAAACTTTGGTCGGAGAATTAAGATCACTCCTTTTAGAGAGCAAAAGAAATGCCGTGTTTTTAAATAAGTGTTGGATTTCAGTTAATGATTACACCGATTGACTTCCGATCGTTAAAAAAAACTGAAACTCTAGAGCTTTTCATACAATATTGATCTAGAAAATTATAGAAAGAGAGATCATATTATTTTACTTACTGCGGAAAAATCACACTGATGTGGTTGTTTATGCATATTTTTGGAATATTAAGATAGAATTGGAAAATTCATCACTTTGAATTTGCCAATTCTTCACGAATTCATCGTTGAAGTTTTGATATCTTTTCGAATGTAGGATAAACAGCTTAAAACTTTATGTGCCAAAATAGTGAACAGTTTTGGCGAAAAAAATTATTTTGTCTTAATTAGAAACCAATTTTTTTACATCGTTTCATGATTAATTATATGAAACTATATTTTGCTTTAAAGAGAAATTTCATGGTTTACAATCCCCCAGAAAAAGAATAAATTACTAGATCGTCGATAAGAAACTTTTGTAAAAGTAAATACTTCCTATGATTTTTAATTGTATAGTATATATATATATATGTAATAACGGTGTATCCACACCGATATTTTTTAGTTCATTAGAAGTCAGAGCAGCATGATTAACGAGTCCAGTTTCGTCATAATCTTTTATTTTACTAAACGATGGTGAAATAGCAGTTCCCTCTCCAGACGGAGAGGGAGAGACAGAGTTACAGTCAGATCTGACGAAGTTTAGTTGGTAAACATTATACACCAAAAAGTCACGCTAAAACATTGCCCCTCTATTTTATACGATAATTAAACTGTGTGAAGAGGTTAGTCATATTGCCTTCCTTGTGTATTCTTACGCCTCATCAAATTATTTATTACTCATAGCAAATCGTTTAATCTTTCCTTATATGGAAGTGAAAGATCTTAAAATAACTTCTCTTTTGAAGTATAAATCTAATTATTATTCATTGGCATGTTTTTAGCCTTGAAGTCCCAAAATAGAATTTCTACCCTTATCCTTTACTAAAGATATTTNTAATGCATGTCAATATATATATATATATATATATTGAAATTTGAGGAAACTATTATGTATTCTACTTAAAGTTGAAAACCTATCTATATTTTAAGTGAGACACTGTGTAGGTGTTTAACATGCCACATTGAATGCAACAATTTTACATAACCAGACCTACCAACCTCAGAAAATCTAAAAGCCTGAGACTTTTTATGGCATAGCAAAATAAGCAAAACAATAATAAAGCTTTTTTTTTTACTCCTGAAAGTTACAAAAAAAATACATTATTCTATTGTTTTAAAACTGTCTGGATTTACTTAGTGTTTGATGAAAATTATCTCATAAAATTTTTTATGAAACTCCTTTTGTTTTGTCTTCCCAGTTAACAAATTCTCTTAAGTTTGTTCTGGATATTCCTAAAATATCTCCACAGATAACTGAATTTCTATCATCACAAACTAGCTATGCAAAATTTTCTAAAAATTTCTACTGATATAGAAAAACTGTTCATAAAAACTAGAAGAGTTAAATTATCCATTTCAGCATGAATTAAAACATTATTCTTAAAAGAGAGATCATCTGCATAGGCTTAGTTAAAAGCGGTTTTATACTTTTTTTGGGGGGGAGGGGGGGAGTAATCAGATATTTGAAATTTTTCTTACAAATTTCCCAAAAAGGAATTATGGATAAACTGAAAGTGCTTGAACCAAATATTTCCTGATCTGAAAAGGGGGAAGGTTTTGGGGTTGTGCGCGAAAAGCGCATGGGTCCAGTAATTTATGCACTACGTAGAAAAAAGAAACTGGAAAAATACTTTGGGAGCCTGAGATTTGACAGGTCTGCATAACTATTTAACAACACCAAATTGGATTTAATGTGATATTCAATAGAAAAAAGTTTGAGATTACTAATTCTTGAAATTAGTTTTTATCAAAAATAGAATTGTTTAAACAAAAGCCAAATTTTTAATGAAATATGTATTTTTTTCATACATTGTACATTTGAATGAAGTATAAAAATAATTCAGACCAGTATTGATTGAATAAAATAATAAATGCTACATACAGTGCTCAATTTTAATAATGGCAAATTTTAATCTCCTAAATCTAAAACTAGAAAGGAAATGAAAATAGAATCAGTCATTCATAATTTACTAAACTTAAATAAAATAACCCACATTTTTTATTGACATTACAGTAATGCAAAAAATATATTTAAAAATAACTTTTCACTGTACAACTTTTGTCATGAAAAAAGTTCCAACATAAAATCTGGGAACAAAATATTTACTTGTCACAAAATTTATATCAACCTAATGTTTAGTTTAAGAATTTTCTTTTGATAAAATCGATCAACTAAATAATTGATTAGTTTTTGGTTCTGAAACATAATTAATTATTAATGTGTTAAGTCTAGAAACTCATTATGTGTTATAAAATCTAATTAATTTTTCAAAAACTCTTTCTGAAGGCAATTGAGTTCTAGATACATAGATCTTGACAGTGTAAATGCAATTTTTTTTTAAATACAATAAAAATGCTTTTGCTTTATTTAAAATTGTAATGTTTTTCTTCAGTGTTTAGTAAATTTTATAAAATTATGTTTCATTATTATAAATAATTAATTAAAAACTTTACATTTAAAGTATGGAGTTCTTACAGAAAATATGCAGTATGGCAATATCTGAAAATAATACATGTCCAAACAATGTATATCTGCTTAATATTTTTACTGGAAAATAGATCATTATTCCTTACATACTTGATAAAGATTTGCAACAATGCCACTAAACTACTTATTCATAAACTTATCATCATTGCCAACTTCAATAAAAAAAACAGTACTTATGTCTCCTGACAGCTTTCCAAATCGGAAATAAAAAAATTACTTCTTACGATCTTTAAGTTATAATATAATTTTTTTTACCTGTATTTATTATTCCTTTACACATATAATTGATAAAGAAATACATGTATAAAGAGATTAATGTTTTAAGGCATATATATATTTCATAATGTATGCTGATATTCATACTGCAATATGATGCCTGCATTAAATGCGTAACATTGATGATATTCCAGATTTAGGTATGAATTTAAAATAACTACTTAACATAATATGAAATAAAAAAAAAGGTTTATTTATGAAAAAATTGAATTAGAATAAAAATTAAATTTAAATTATGCCATATGTATGAATTTAAATTATAATTGCCAAAAATGTTAGTTCTTTTTTTACTTAACAGTTATTATAATTAATATAGGTGTCCCAATGTCAGTCCTCCTGAATTTTGAGATTCTGGGTTCAAGGTCCCGATAATGTATTTATAATATTTTTCATTCAACAATGTGAAACCACATGTTCTTCATTTAAATACCACAAAAATATTTGGTATTATAATAATATATTTCAAAAAAATTGTAACACAGAAATTAATCATACTTTGTAATTCATACTCTGTACTTTTTTTTATGTCCACATTTTGACTTTAGTAATTATAAATAAATGTGCTATTTTCATTTTTTTTTTTTTATTGTCTGCTGAGTGAATTATTTTATGTCACGTAAATCACTATTAATTTAAAAATTTTCAAAAAAGGTCAACCATGTAACATTTTTATAGTTATAGTTGCAGTACAGCAACATGTAAGGAAAAAAAAGTTTGAAATTTTCAAATGTCATGTTTAATTTTTCAAAAGTTACTATATTATGGAATAATTTTAAAAAAATCATGTTTATATGGCATATGAGTTTTATCTACCCCTGACATTAACTATAACCAAGTAATGTTTCCAAGAAAAGAAATTGTAAACATATTTAAATAACAAGAAACTAAATTATTACCTTCCACAAAAAATTTTATTTTCATTAAAAAATAGGCTAGACTGTTTCTTGTTTTTAATATCAGAAGCAATACTGACTAAGGAATTATTTTTTTAAATTAAATATAAAAATTTTGAATCATAAAAACTGTATGAAATTCAAGAATTAAAATTTTCTAACTGAAAAAAAAACTTATGACCACAACTCTGAATTCTTATTGATTCCAAAGTTTTTTTTATCAACACCAAAAGTTTCAATTCTTAGTCTTAAAAAGTCATTGTAACAAAGTGCAACAAAATATCATATAAAAATGTTGTAATATATCAAGCTATAAATAATTGTTTGTATGTTTGATTTTAATACAAATTGCAACTTAACAAACTAAAATTTAAATTATTTATCTAAAATAAGTAAATGAAAATCAGAGAAAAGAAATTTTTTTAACAGAAATTAAAAACTTGGGCTTGATAAAAACAATAATAATAAAACTTAAGTAAACGTTTTTTTTAAGAAGTGAAAAAGCAATTGTAATAATACTTTAATAAAGCAATGTTTAAAATGAGACTGTGCAAAAAAAATTTTGATAAATTAAAATAAATTAAAATTTTACTTAAAATGTTTATAACAACATAATATAACATATATTAGCACAAAAAGACTGGTCACTACATTTTCCAATACCTCATAACTGGGAGAGAGGAGACTTAATAACAAAATAATGAATAACTTTACTGTTTACTATTCAAAAATAAAAAGGAACACAAGAAACTTGTTTGCAACTTATAAGTTTACAAAACAATTTTAATAAGTCTTCGATTTTAAGAAAAAATCATTATTTAAATTCAATAATAATTTCAACAAAGAACCAGGGTTGAGAGCAAAATGCAACTGTAAAGATGTTTAAAAAAAACTTAAAACTATGTCAAGAGCTTTAAAATTAAAACGTAAGAAAAAAGCCTTAGAATACAGTAAATTTGATATACATATGAGCAATTATAAAGTATAAACAGTAAAATTGTATTTTTCAATCACACAGATTTATTAGAAGTTACCAAATAAGTACCTGTAAACGTTTTGCCTTACATTGTATTTTATTTTAAAGTCCACTTTAAAAAAAATTGAGAATAAAGGTTTTTACGATTTAAATCTTGATTCAAATATTCAAACAAAATAAAATTAAAAACAAAAGTATCATTTTGAAAAAACAAGTAACATGAAAGCAAACAAACAAAAATTGAAACATTCTATCAACATACCAATAATACCAATTACAGTGTTAAAAAAAATATGAAGATCTGATAACCATTTTATATTTTTTCACGAGAGAAAGAAGAAACAATGATGAATCTCATCAAGAATATTATTTATGTCAAAACAAAGCAGATATACCAAACATATTTGATCGATATGATGAAAGAAAAAAATTAGAGTTTTCCAAATTTATTCAACAAAGATCTAAATTTTAAGCTCTGATAACAATTATTTCAATTCAATTCCCAGTAAAACTTTAACAATATATTTATAATTCTCCCTAGTTATAGGGTCGAACGTAAACTATTGCAAAGGTTTTCTATAAGTATCTTAAAAAAATGTTTTTGTAACAAAACGGGCCAATTTTAAACATTCATGTTTCTAACTAATCAAAAGTCATACCAGAAAGAAAAAGTTACATTTTTTTAGAAGAACAAAAATGAGAGAATAAAGTTTCAAACTAAAAAATGGCAGCACTAGACTTTTGTTTTTGACAGTTTGAAATATCTATAAAAAATAACCACCCTAAATATATATTTTAAATACCTTCATAAAAAAATTAAGTCAAAAAACTAAGTACATTAAGTGTCACAAATTAATATAAATGAAAATATTTACAAAATCTGACCAACCAAATTAAATTAAGAGTAAAAGGGATAAAAACCAGTTTATTTGAGAATGAAACTTAAAGGCAGCCTCTAGCAAAGAAAAAAAGCATTTCAGTTCCAATAGATGACGAAACTGGTCTTTGATGATTTCAATATCTCAACTGACCTTAAAAAATGATTAGTCTGAGTTGGAAAATATTTTCGCTTTTTTTTCTCACTTGAAATTTAATTTACCATGCATACAGTTTTCATTAGGTCATTATAGACTATCCTAATTATGTATAATCTACAAATTTGAACAAAAACCTTACTTTATAATTATACTTTAATTACAATTAGATCATATATTACATTTTAATGTTGTCAGCATCAGGTATTTACACCATTACAATGAAATACTATAAGTCAGAAAATGTTTAGCATGTTTCATATTTATTTAATGAGAATGAGTTCCAAATTATTCATACAATTCAAATCAACCCTCCATGTAAAAATATATGTATATTTACAATTTTACACAACGATGCTTGTTAATTAAAAACCATATTTTGCTTGTGTTTCACGTCTTGTGCGATTGTTCAGAGCCCATTGATTTTTCAAATCCAACTCCCGTTCCTTGGCCTGAAAAATAATGACATCTTAATCATTATGAGATTTCAGTTCATTAAATTAATTTATTTAAATTATGATGAATTTTAACTGAAAAGAGTTCCGGCTCTCTGTAGCAAGAGAGTACAAAAATGCAAACGTAGCAAGAGCTCAAATGACTAGGGCATTTACACTCACAAGTACATTTGGATATGAGAAACTAATTTTGATGCAACTAACTGTTAACTTAATACAGCAAACAATTTGCAAAGATAATAAAATAAATGCAAATGAGTGAAAAAAATTAGAGAATCTGATCATGCGGCTGACAGTTTGTCTAAATGTCACAAAATTGAAAAACAGAAGAGAAAACTCAGGAAAACTGATCGATATTTAATGAAGTAGAATAAGTGGATTAATACATTTTAATGGGGTTAATCAGTAAATTATTACAAAAAAAACAGATTTTTTTTTTTTAATTTACGACATGGCAAAATTAACTAGGTATAAGAAAGGAGTTATTTGAATATAATTCTGGAGAAGAAAAGAAAATTTTGAAAAGTTTTGCAGAAAAGAAAAGCAAATATTTTTACTTTATTATTCTAAAAAGAGAATAGAAAAATCACAACTCTGATGCGTGAAAAAGGCATTTTTTCTAGAGCAGAAAAAAAAAATTCAAAACTTCTGCAGAAAAGAAAACAAAAATTTTTCACTTCATTATTCTCTATTCTCAAATGAAAATAAAAAATTCACATGCATTTCTTTCACCTCTGTTGCAGATAAAAATCATCTTTTAAATATAATTCTGGAGAAAGAAAAAAGTCTTTCAAAAATTTCTGTAGAAAAGAAAATTAAAAATTTTTAATTCATTATTCTTAATATTACATTATTTTCAAATGAGAATAGAAAAATGACAAGAATTTTTTTTCTATCTGATGCACGAGAAAGACATCTTTTGAATATAATTCTGGAAATAAAACTAAATATTTCGAAAATTTCAGCAGAAAAGAATATCAAAATTTTTACTTCCCAAAGGAGAAATCTTTCTGCACGAACTCTATGACAATGTCGCCATGTCGTCGCGATTCTGCCAAGGGGAGGGGGGCAAAATATGTTAGTAAATTATTATCTTACACAAAAAAAAAAAATATATAAGCGAGTTCCAGAAACAAATGGGTTTTTTTAAAGATATAGACACACTTTCAAAAAGAAAATTGGATATATAATCTTAGCAGACTGATAAAACTATGGGAAATTGCTGAATTGAACAAGTTCTGATAAAATAATACTTGAAGGTAGTAATTATTTTATTTTTTTATAAAATGAAAATGGAAGTAAAATGCATGGGAAGTAAATACCACATTCAATTAAACATTCATTCTAATCAAGTCATAGTAAAATAGGAAGAAAAAAAATCTTACTTGGTAAGCTAAATAGGTAATTTGATGCTTCCGTTTTTGCTGTGATGTAGGCATATCATGCCTACGTTTTAATGGTCGATAAGTTTCTTCAGTAAGTGACTGCATAATCCATTGATCTTTCCCAGTGAGTTGGTCGTCAGCACTCACATCTATGATGTTGATATTTTCCATTTCTTTTCTACCTTTGAGCTTCATAAACTAGGAGGAAGAAAAAGACAATTTTACCAAAAAGAAATGCGTAACAATAACACTGCACTGCTAAATAAATTTTATGCGTCCAGAAACTGTTCTGATATGAAATGACCTAGTGAATTCAAATATAGCCTTCATTTTAATACCCTCCCTCACAGCAACCTTTCCAGTAGGCCAAAAAAAAAAACAAAAAAAAAAATCAGGACACTTTTGGAACATTATTTAATTAAACTGAAAAATGCATAATTTTCTCTACTTAAGTATTATTAATAACATTATAATAATATATATAAATAAAAATGCATAATAAAACATATATTTAATTTCAGAATTACTTTGCTTAGATCAAAATTTTTAAATTCTCCTGAAGGCACAATTATTAAATTCATTTTTTACATATTCTAGTTCTCCTTTACCTCCTTAAAAATGTATCCAAATAATTAAAATATAATATAATCATAGTTTTGCTATAAGCGGGTGAGGGGTGCTAGGTTCTGATGTTTGAGTAAAATTTGGAAGATTCACTGTCCGATGGCTTCCAAGAGTATACTACCACACAAACTTTTAGCCGAAGTTGTAGCTAATTATTTGTATTATCAGGTTTCTACAATAAAACATAAATTTTCATTCACACTAATTACTCTTTACTTTAATTTGATGCCAAACTTATTTCCCAATTTTTTTTATTTGTTCAAAGATACATATTAGATGCATATTCTTTTCATGCTAACTCAGAAGAACAAGGAAGTTTTTAGATATAAATAATATTACAGCATTCTATTCAGTTCAAGAGAAGCAGAATTTTTTAAAATTTAACAACCACTGTTACTTTCTCAAAAAATGTTTTTCTAATTAAATAATAAAAAAACATACTTTGGAAATAATATTAATGATAATTTACAAAAATTTATTATATGTACCAAAATATGTGTTTGGTTGAAAATGTAAAATTTCTCATCATAGGCATATAAAAACAGCAAACTTGAAATGAATTCATTAAATTTTTATCTGATTATAGAAATTCTATCTAAAACAAAAGTTTATACACTGAGTATATTAAAAGTAATAGGTTAATAATTACAGAAAAATAAAAGGTTATAGATAGAAATATGCTGCTTGCTTAGGAAAGTAGATTTTATTTGCATCAAGTTTTAGAATTAGGTATAAATTTCATTATTAGATAGCTTTGCTTACTGAAAATAGCTATAAAATAAGGTTTTTCAAAATAAACACTACTAGAAACACAAAAGTGTAATCTGAGAAGAAATCTGTAGAGACTCATTGAATTCAATCAAATGAATTAACATTTTTTATTTGGATTGATTTGAAATATGGTGGTAAACAGTATTTTATAACTTCCCAATAAGTAGTGCCATTTGTTGAAAAATTGTGCAACTGGAACTGATTAGCAGTTTCTTGAGCAGCATATGATGCATTTCTATATCTTTGGATTTTTTAAATAGATTTTTCAAATTATTGACCATGTTTGCAACACGCAATATATTGTGACATAATTTCAATAAAAAAATTTCAATAAAAAATTATGAAAGTTAAAAAACAAATAATTCATTAAATATATAATAAATAAGTTACTATATTTGGAATAATTTAATGATATTTCATACTAGATATTTAGACTATTAAAAAAATTACTTGTTCATCTTTTAATAAATCAGGTGATCCATCTGATTCAGAAGGTCCTGATGCATTTCTCATCTCTAAAGAACTCCAATCAATTGTAGAACTACTAGTTTCAGGTACTGAAGTTTCACTAAATCCATAGTTTTCATTCCAACTTGCACTAGAAGCACTGTGACTCACGGGATAATTTTCACTAGTAGTTACTTTTATTGAAGATTCTTGACTAATGGAAGAGTCTGTGTTAAGTGTAGGCACAACAAAGTTTTCATTTAGCTCTATTTCATATTTTTTCAGGAAAGTATCACCAGATGTAGTTTCTGTATTTAAAGAAAAGAAATCCATTTTCTCAGATGAATCATCATCAATTTCATCAACAGAATTTTCAATTTCCTCAGTTCTTTCCAATTTTTGAGTTTTGTTCAAAACTGTAGGCGTTATTTGCTTTCGTTTTTGTGGTGTTGGTTTTGACTCTTTCTTTTTGGAAAATACATAAGGAGTGAAACCAGGCTTTGAAAATGTTGAAGAATTCTTTGGTGGAGGAAGAATACTGAAAAGACCAGATCCACCCTTAAACAAGAATTATTAGAATTTTAAATTTTATGAAAAATATAATTCAATATTACAAAACAAAACAAAAATTAATGTTTACATTATTTAAAATACAAAAAATTCTTCAAAGCAAGAACACTGATAGAGACTTTTTTTTTTTTTTTTTNTTTTTTTTTTTTTTTTTTTTTTTTTTTTTTTACTTTATTAGAACAGAATAAAATTGCACTAAAATCAATTGTCCATGAAAATTTATCATAATTTTCCATTGTAAACTTAGTTACCTTAAAATTCACATTAAAGATTTAGAAATAAAAAAGAATTTTAAAATATTAACAGCGCAATCAAAGTAGTACAGTGTGCATATAGAAAATGCTAAAAAGGAGTAACTTTTTTTTTTTTCAACTCAGATGAGATTTCTTTTGGGTTTTGATTTCAATTTGACTTTATGCTCTTTGACAACAACAGTATCTGTGTTATTAATTGTACTTTCTTACCCATGGTACTAAATAAATTGTCTATAACATAAAAATAAAAAAAATATTACATTTACTAGTTATCAAAGTTGTGCATTGATAAGATAAATGCAACACTTAAAAATTAAGATCAGATCTAACATATAATTCGCAAGCAATTGTAAAGGAAAATATAAGCAGATAGGTTAGCAACAAGAAGGGTAATCTATCACTGCAAAGACCACCACAATTTCGAATTCATCCGATGTCACACTTTAACCCCAAGATTCAAGAAAAAGAGACAAATGTTAATTCGCAAGCAATTGTAAAAGAAAATATAAGCAAACAGGTTAGCAACAAGAAGGGTAATCTATCACTGCAAAGACCACCACAACTTCTAATTCATCCGATGTCACACTTTAACCCCAAGATTCAAGAAAAAGAGACAAATGTGGGCTTTCCAAATACAGTAGAGAACCAATTATCCGGGATGCTCGGGACCATCGCTATCCCGGATGTCTGAATTTCCCGGTTTTCTGGATCGACCAAAAACTTATGTTAATCGATTTTTTAATCGAACCCGAATTACAAGGAAAAAGTGTAATGCATAAAGTAAAAGAAAAAAGAAACGTACTCCTAACTTTAAAAAGAAATTGTAGAAAAATAACATTTACAAGAATAAAAAAATTTGCAAGTTTAGACAAGAAAAACAAGTTTAAAAAATACAAAATTCCCGTATTTATTTTTTAAAAATAATTACAATTCCTAAATTAACTAATATAAACAAAACCAATGGTTAAATAACGCAATATATTTCATACCTAATTATACGGGGAAACGATAAAATAAAAGGAAAACTTATTAATCTAAATAAAAACACTTGAAAATTATCGAACCGAAACAATAGTTAAAAAAGGCACTAGCATAAATATTAAAACCCGGAGCAAGACAAGATCAACGGAATTTTAAAAAAAAAACTAATGATAAAATTTATGAATAAAAATAATTTATTGAGTGCAAAATTTATCATGAAAAGAAAAAAATATCAAACGTAGTGGAATCAGATAAACAAAACTGCAATCTGCTTCATAAAATAATCCTATGTTTAAACTAATAGACAATTCTCCTTTTATTTATTTTTTTTGTTGATAAAAACACGATATTTAATTACAGCAGATGTGATTCCACATCAATAAAAACTTGCAAATGATACCGCACTTCCAAAGAATGAGAATTTATTCAGAAGAAACATATTTTATTTCTTATTAATCAATGTCAAATAGATAAATATATTTTTCTCTTTCATCTTCTGTTCACTGATATGCATGCAATGCATTTCCCCCACCCCCCCTTGTAAATCAAACAGAAAATAAAATCAGCATGCCACACCCTTGAGCTTGATTGACGGCCTAAAGGAGAAAATAAAACATTCCTCCCTTCCCTGTCTACAAGGTCACGGAGGAAATGATGTTTCTCTGGGTAAACGGGAAAAAAAATTCTCCCCTTCCTTACATTTTCCTCTACTCAACTTCAAGGATGAGTACAATTTCCGCTTTTTTTAATAATCGTTCTAGTTTAAAATGGCGGGAAAACCGATTAAAAGTTTTCCCGGTTTTCTAGATTCCCGGTTATCTGGATACCGGATAAATGGTTCTCTACTGTACTTTACTTCTGACAATTGAACTGTGTTTTATTACGATTTTCAAACAAAAACAAATTCATTTTTTTCTTTTACACCTAAGTTTTCATAAATCCAATGCAATAGTAACTTTTAGTAAATGAAAATTTTAATTTAAACAAGATTCAACAAACACAATTTTTTAAACTTATTTTTTTTTTACTAAGGAAGTAGATTTTGAAATTATTATTACAATCTTTATGCATTGAGTATAATTTCATTAAACGGTGCAGAACGGCTCATAAACATAAAAAATAGAAAAATTAATTTATAAAATGCAACATTCATAAAGTTGGTAAGAATGACAAATAGAATTACATAATTGTTTTCAGTTATATTTAAGATATGGTGAGTAGGTTTTGATATATCGCCTCATAAGTTAAACATATAAATTATAGATATACAGTAATTAATGACAAAATAATGACAATTAACAAAGCAAGTTCACTAGATAGACTGATAATTGACATGAGGCAAACTAGCATGATTGCTATTTTGAAAGTTATTTTTAAAGTATGAAAGCATGTAAAGCATGAAAGTAATTTTTTAACAAAATACTTCACAAAAAATTAATAAAAACCAAACATTACTTTTTGGAAATTGAAAACACACTTAATTGTTTTTTTTTTTTTTTTAAATCATTAATTTCAAATAGAACCATGCATACTAATATGAAAAGAAATTAAAATCACCAACATTTATAATTCTATAATAAGGCAGAATTGCAAATAATTTCATTACATAAATAATATCAAACAGAATAAAAACATAGCTAATTTAAATTATTCACTTACTTTTGGCTTAGGTTTCACAATAGGATCAGGCTTATCTTCTTCTTGAAACTAAAAAAATTAATAATTAAGTTATAAATTAGGTAAATAAATTTTAAAAAATTAACAATAAACAAATGAAACTAAAAATATATAAATTCTGAAAACATAAAGAATAAAACCACTGTTTCAATAGCAATAACGTTCAGGTTTAGTACAATAATAACCGGAATTTATTTTTGAGAGAAACTGAATAAAGGATTCAACTAACAAGGAAACCTTACCAAATTTGATAATTTTTAATGTAAAAGTGAAATAATGACCTAGATTCCCTAAAAGGAAAAACTTTTTATATTATGTTAACTTATAAAAAAAATTACATAGCTAAAAAAATGCAAAATTTTGCCCGCAAACTGTCATCAGAATTTATTGGTTGCCATTAAGCAAATTCCAACTGAACAATTAGTAAAATTATGAGAAATTCAATTCTTCTCTAATTGAAAGGTTATTTGTTGAAAGGTTCAAAAATTAATCAGACCTAAACTGTGGTACATTAAGTAAATATTACCGTCATTGAAGTAAAACATTATCACACATTTTTTTTATCTATTTCAATTCGGATTTAAAATATGAAAGTATCAGTTCAAATTTAGAATATGACTGTAATAATTGGTTAAGTATACCTCTTATTAAAAAAATTAAAATACCATTAATTACAAATTTAGAAATATTAGATTTTTAACATCATAAATGGACACATAATTTTAAAAAAAAAAGAAAATTTCAGGATATCGAATTGGTCTGTTTTATTTTATAACAATTTTTTAGACATAATTTAACTTCGAATTTTACCACATTAAATTATTTTATATGCATATACCTTTGCATAAGCACAATGATGTGTAAACAATGTACAAATGAATGTTTATTTAAAGTAACACACATTCGTATTAAAATAATAAAATTTTTATATGAAAATTTCATATTTTTTCATTCAGTGGTGTTTAAACTTAAGTTAATATAAATAACAGGAAATTAAACTATAAAAAATTATTGTTTCTTTCAAAAAAAATTATTTACTTTAAACACTTAAGTTAAAAGCAAATGGTTTTAATCGATGTTTATGTAACAGTTCTATCAAACAATCCAACCCTGGGTTTAATAGATTTATTGATTATTTATTTATTTTTAACTGCACTGAATTTATTGACAAACGTTTCACCTGCTTTAATTTCTGACTAAGTGTATCGTTTTCATTTATACATGATTTCGGGCAACAAAATAAATTTTAAACACATCCCGGCAATGCACCCTATCAGTACAATTTTCCAATCAAACTTGTGTGATTATTTACAATAAGGTAAAACACAATATATATAATCATGCATACTAAT